CGGGCGGGCAGGGCTGCCTGCTGCGGGGCCCAGCCCGGCCCGCCTCTCGGCAGATGGTGCTGTCGAGCCGGAGAACGGGGGTGGGACTGCCCCGGCGTTCTGCAAACACCTTGAGGATCTGCTGCCCACGCCTCCCTCCTGGCCTCGTCCCCTTGGAAACGGCGTGTCCTTCATCCCTGCACCCGAGAGCTACAGGTTCCCATGGCAACAGCCTGGGATGCTCCGTTACCCTGGGCCTTCCTGGTGCCTGCCCACTCCTCCCTGGCCCCTCCAGGCCTTGGTGTCCAGAGCTGCTTCTCACTGCAGCCGTGGCCGGTGCGATGCCAGTGAGCCCCAGCCAGCCGCATGCTGCCGATGGGCTGAGGCACCCCCACCCCCCACGCTGCAGTGGCGGTGGGGGTCGGGTACCGTGTTGACATCTTCCTTTCCATTGTCCGACAGCCCTGCTGGTCGCCATCAGCACCGCTGTGGATAAGATTATCGCTCACTTCAGCACCGCGCGGAACCTGGTGCAGAAGGTGAGGGGCTGGGGCTGAGGCTCTGACTGGGCTGGGGTGGGCAGGAGTGAGGGCAGGCCATGCAGGCTTTGGGCAGGAGGGGCTTTGGGAGCTCCAGGGAGAGGATCCCACCGTCCCTCCCTGCAGGCTCAGGGTTAGGTGCTGCCGTTCCCCTCCCTCTCCTCTCCTTGTGCCCCCCTACTTCAGGCCCAGCTGGGAGACAGCCGGCTCAGCCCAGATGTGGGTTACCTGCTGCTGCACACCCTCTGCCCTGCGCTCTATGCCTTGGTGGAGGACGGGCTGAAGCCATTCCAGAAGGATGTTATCACAGGCCAGAGGAAAAATTCCCCCTGGAGCGTGGTGGAAGCCTCCGTGAAGACAGGTCTGTGTGAGGAACATGCTCTTGGAGATGTTGGGATCAGCATCTCAAGGTGCCTGAATCCTTTTCCAGCCCAGGCTGGGGGAGGATGTGCCCCCAGAGCAGTGACTGTCTGTGTCGTGTTCCACAGGCCCCAACACCCGCTCTCTCCACTCTCTCTGCTGGCACGTGGCTGGGCTGGCGCCTCTCAACAGCACCAGACAGAAGTTTCATGCCTTTATCCTCGGCCTTTTAAAGTGAGTGTTGGCCCTGGATGGTCCAGGCTGTCCTTGCTGCGATGGCAGGTTGGAACAGAGTCCCAAGAGCTTTAACTTGGGTTCCCTTTGTCTTGTTCAGCATTAAGCAGCTGGAGCTGTGGATCTCTCACCTGCAGAAGAGCCCAGGTAAGGACACAGTGCCCAGAAGCTCCCCACTCAAGTTCTCTCCTACTTGCCAGGGTGATAATCCCACATGTGGTCCACCCACAATGCTTGGCTGGGATTTCCGTAGTGGACAAGGGCATCGTTTTCCGTGGCTGTCGTACTGGATGAGAGCAGTCAGGCAGACAATTTGGAGTGTCATTTGGACCTGCTGGGACAGACCAGCTGGCCCTGGGAGGGATGTGTGGGCAAGGGCAGGGCATTTGGCAGCTGTCTAGCGCTGTCCATATCTTCTAGGTGTAATCTCCGTGCTGTATTCACCCATGGCCTTCTTTGCCCTGAGTCAAGGCCCTCTTCCCCACCTCGCTGATGAACTGCTGCTGCTCATCCAGCCCCTCTCAGTGCTGACTTTCCACCTTGACCTGCTCTTTGAACACCACCACCTCTCTGTGGATGTAAGACCCTTGTCCCATCGGCTGGAGTCGCCCCTGTCTCCTGCCCATCACACCGCTCAGGCTCAGGGGGCTGTGCAGCCTTCTCTGGAGGGCCAAAGCAGTGCTGCAGGGGCAAGCCTGGAAGACGAGATCCCCCCCGATACTCTGGGGAGGGCAGCCAGTACAGAGGGCAGCACAAGGTCCCAGTCCCAGGCAGCTGTGCGTGGGCTGGTCCCTGGCCCCCAGGTGGGGGCTGCCCTGCAGCATGCCTTCCAGCACGTGCTGCAGTGGGGCGACCAGCTTAGTCGCACTTTCCTGGGAGCTGACAGCTCCCTGGAGACCCACAGGCCTGAGGCAGGCTCTCGGGAGGCTGGGGCTGGCCTCAGTGGCTGGTGGGGCCAGCTGAGCCAGGCCTCCAAGATTTACGCTGCTCCTAGCAAGGAAAAGTTCCCCTTCATCTGGTGGACAAAGCTGCGGACGGCTGCGGGGGACTCCAGCCCTGGCCAGGCTGTGCGACCCCACATATCCATGAGTGAGCCTAGAGACACAGAGCTGCAGCTCCTTCAGACCAAAGCTGTCCCTGAACTCTCCAGTCCAGAGCCCAGCAGCAGTGCTGACACCTCTGGGACCTCTTCCCCTGAAGACCTCATCCTGCCTGCTGGAGCTGGAGCGCCCACCAAGCCAGATGATCCCACTGCTGGAGAGAAACTCCTGGCTGCTTCCACAGAGCCTCATGTGAATAGGAATCGAGCAGACCCTTCCGACCCAGAGGCTGGCGGTCCTCCTGGTCCTGACAAGGGCAGCTGGCTGGGCCGGCTCTTTGGAGCCACCAGCCCCTCTGCCAGGAGCTTCCCTCCCAGTCCTGACACCATCTCAGCTAGGCCGAGGTAAGACCCAGCTTGGGCAGGCGGGGTGGGGGAAGTGGCATGTGCTGAGGAAGGGTTTTTCTCCCAGGCAGTGTATGGAGAGCACACCGTGGGGGTCGCTGGCCTTGCAGGGTGTCTTGTACTGCCCGTTATCTAGGTTGTTCTCCTGGGCTGTTGCGCTGTGCTGGGGGATTAGCACATGTTCCAAGTGCTGCTGCCACCACATTGCCTCAGCCCTTTAGAGCAGCAGGAGCTCATGGTGGAGGCTCGGTGGTGCTTGATAGAGCCCTTTGTCAGCTCCCAGATCACCAGAATAGTTTTCTGAGCAGGATGGGTGGGAAAAGGCTTCCCAGATGAGCTTGTGGCTTCCTTTGCTTTGTGGCAGGAGACCGTCTAGCTGGCTGTCCCCCAGCACGCGTGTCCTGGCCGTGGTGGTGAAGGGGCTGGCGTCTGAGAAGATCTTGAGAGATCAAGAACAGGCAGAGAAGAACACGTCCGACATGCCCCAAACCCACAGGTGATGCAGGGCACCGTAGCGTTTGGGGCTCAAAAGCTGGTGGTGGATTTTTTGGGGGGGTGGGGAAGCAGGGGCTGTTTCCAGGCATAGCCTGGATATCCTACAGGCCTTTCTAGGGAAAGGTTTACGCCACTCCTTGTTGCTACCTTGCACTTTGACTGCTCCCCCGGGGATCCTCCCCCTCTCCCGATGAGCTTTGGGTGAACCTGTGTGTCTGCCTAGCTGTGATCAGTTGTTTTCCTCAGACATTTTTTGGGGGGATCTTGAGCATTTTTCTTTCTCTTGTGTGCTTTCTGGATTCATAGCGGCTTGTTTGGGGCAACTGTGTGGCAGCTCTGACCAAATTGTGGCAGGTCAGAAAAGCTGTAGTGGTCCTTCTGTGCTTGCGCAGTATCTGTCCAAGCGAGCACGGAGGGCGAGTGGCCGTCCCACACCACGTTTGGCCGTCTCCCTCCTCCTGAGCCCTCACTGGCCCTGACCTTGACCTCCCCTCCACGTCTGTGCAAGCGCTGCTCACGCTCTGTTGCTGCTCCGAGGGTGTGCTTAGCAGGACGGTTTTGTGATGTGGCTTCTCGATCAAGTCCATCGTCATATGGCATCTCTGCCTGAGGCGGGGGGGGGGGGGTGTCACTGGCTCCATACATGAGCGTGAAAACCTCTCCCGAGTCCTGTGGGAGTGTCTCTCGGTGGTACCTGAGGTCCCTCGGGAGATGAATCCCTGATGGCGTTTGTTGTACAGGGCAGTTCGGGCGCTGTGTGACCACACGGGCACCGCCGACGGTCACCTGAGCTTCCAAAAAGGGGACATCCTGCAGCTGCTCTCCACCGTGGATGAAGACTGGATCCACTGCTGCCATGGAAACCGCACTGGCCTAGTTCCTGTCGGCTACACATCCCTAATTTTGTGAGGAGGTGGAAGAGACCTGAGGAAGCAGCTGAGCTTGCTGAAGCAGGTGCCACCTCTGGGAAGGACCGTCTCCTGCCACATCTTCATCACCTTCGGGGCTTCACCACCTTCGGGGCTGGCAGTTCTGCAGGGGACCCTGCCCTGGTGCCCGTTGCTGCTGCTCGTTTGCATGACGTTACCGTCTGCCGTGGGTGCATCCCGTGAGCCACCGCTGTGCGTGTCCCCGCAGATCTGCTGGCACTTCACCATGGCCCCCGTTTGGGACCTGCTCGTGCTCATGTTTCCTCAGCCGCTGCCCACGCCTGTGCCGGGGAGGGAAGGACCCTGTCCCCTGCGTGGTACTCACAGTCCTGTATGTCGTCTCTGTGCCGTCGTGTCCTGCCACCGCCACCATCTCCACATGCCCTGCTTTGCCCCGTGGCTGGGGCTGGTGGCCCAGGCCACCGATGTGCAGTCCCAGCACTGTAAATAGTCGTAACCACAGGAACGAGCTTATTCCGGGGGGAAAAAAGCTGGAAATAAAGGTTGTGACTCACATGTCCATGTGTGAAAATGGATCATTGCAGTTGGGGGGGGGGGGGGGGGTGTGGAATGGCCACGTGGCCCGTCCCTGCATGGGTACCCCGGGCTGGTGCTGGGTCTTTGGTGAGTAAATGCTCTTATAGGCAAAGCCAGCATGGGCTGAGGCCGTGCTGGTGCTCAGCATACCAACGTCAGCTATCAACCACAGAGCCCAGCACAGCATCATGCCCTGGCAGAAAGTGCCCGGTCTCCTATACGGTGTAGGAAGAGGCAGCTGCAGACAGCCAGAGCCAGAAATAATCCTGGAAAAAATGTGCGTCACTCTGGCTGGCTGGTAACCAGCCCCATGAGATGGAAGCTGCACAGCACTGGTAAAGGTAAATGTCGGTTTGTTTGTTTATTAAATTAAACTAATCTTTTTACCGAGTCACAGGATTTCAGTAGGGGCTGGATGGCTTTTATTTTATTTTTTTTCAAGTTTTTCTCATTGCTTATGATTTCATACCAAACTACTTACATCTTGCACTGGGCTCCCCAGTAAGAGCGAGCTGTGGACATATTGGAGAGCATCCAGCAAAGGGCCACAAGGCAGAAGCAGCTTGTCTAGGGGGCAACTTTTGGGCCAGCGCTCTCTCATACGGACCAAGAACCACATTTCATCCTTCTAACTTCCACTGTTTCAGTGGCAAAGGAGACCACGCTTCAGCCAAGGGGCTGTGTTCTGCTTTGAGGACAAAGCTGCTTTTTATTCTGTTCTCATTTTTATTTCTCTCTCTGGAATTTTTACTCTCAGACAAGGGACATTATATCTTAATTGGAATGTTATTTGGCTTGCCTTAAGTAGGTTTGATTGAATTCCACAGCTGCCTCTGGACTTTAAAATGGGGTCAAGCCAGCAGGAGATGAATCCAGGTACTTTTTCAACTTTTTTTTTTTAATTAAAAAAAGCACTACAGTCCTTGGCCTGGTGTCTCTAGTTTAAAAGGAAGACAAGTGTTTGGGTCAGGCATGGCATTTTGATCACCACAAAGATTCAGGTTAGGAAATGGAAAAAGAAAAATCAATTTACATTAAAGGAGGGTCATCAATAAGCTACTTCATTCCCAAGTAACACAAATAGTTACCAAACTTATTCCCAGAAACCACTTTTGAACCACTTTTGATTTGTAAGGACCATATCTCGTTAGTGCCAACCTTGACAGAGGGTATCAGAGGAAATGCACGGGTGACGAAGCCTTAGAAAGGCTGGTTTGAAGGGACGCAAAGTTCTTCATTTCTGTGTTCCTCAATGTCCCGCTGTGTGCCAAGGGGCACAGGGCGGGATGATGGTATGTGATCGGGCTGAGGGCTCCCAACAACTTGAAACACCTCTCAGCCGTTCCAGCTTACCTGACTTTTGGTAACGGAGGGGAACATGCCCTACAGTGCAAGTCATTCGCCTGACACGACTCCGGTCTAATATTAGCAGTTTGAGCGCACTGCCACTGTGAGATGCAGTAACGATGTTGACAGAACCTAATCTGCCGTCTATGCGGGCACGGGAGGTACCGCCTCTAGGTACCAGGGGTTTATATTGTGGGAATAGGCACTGAATTCGTAGATTTAATGGTTCATGTACCAACCTGCCATTATATACGATCACGGTTACACAGCCTCTGACTCTGTACGCGCGCTGCCATCATCCCTCCTGCCAAGGTCTGACCAGAAGAACCATCAGCATCAAACTATATCCTCGCGAAACACCAGCACCCATCAGGCAATTGGATATTCAAAAGAGACGGGGCAACAACCCCCGTAAAAGAGGCTGTAAGAGAGTCAGAACACGACAGGAGCAGTTGAGACAAAGAGGCAAGAAAAGAAAATCAAAGACATGTCAAAGAAAACCCCACAAGTCATCGATAGGAAAAGATTTTCCATTTAATACTAGACTCTCTCAGGATTGAGATGCAGGCTTTTTATGCAATTACATCCAATGTTAAAATTGGTAATACATAATTTACAAAGATTAACATCAAAACAATGATCTATTTAGATATGCTTTGTAAAAAGGAAATATATTAGCAGCATTTATTTTCAGCAATCACACAGCCTACACCCATGCAGACTAAGAGTTCATATCTATTTGCAATAATGTAGTGCTTCCTGGTCTTAAAACAGCGATCCTGGTGACACACTGGTCTTCTCGTTATTATAAAATAACCGAAAAATAAAAACAGTCATTAATTTCTACACCAGTAAGAAAAACAATTCTTTGCACTTACCTAACATTTGATTGTCTAAAAAACATTTTGTTTAGTCTTTCAACAAAAGAAAGATAAAATGACAGAGCTAGTGTCTCGCTTCTGTACGCACTTTATTTTTTAAAAACTTTTTAGTGTTTAACACCATTTGAGACAATGATTTCTGTTTTAAACTAAATGAGACAACTCAAGATTTTGGACATGCGATATTCCTACTACACGCACGAGTATTTTATACTCAGGGTTCCTGGTACTGTACAGTGCTTCTCTACAGTAAGAAAATATTCCAAACTATTTTCTTATTTCTTTTTTTTTTTTAATAAAATATTTTTTCTCAAAGGGTTTTTTCCTTTCTTTTTTTTTCTTTTTAAATCAACACATAAAAGTTAATGGAATGAGTCATGTTCCACTAAGAGTAAAATAATTATAATAATAACAAGAATGTACATTAGGACAAGCTTGGTCCATTAAAAAGGAACATGTAACTACTGTATTGCTTTACATCCACGCAGCAGATATATACAACTTGGCACATTAAAAACTGGTTTTCTTATAAGAACATCTAAAACAGGACTGTATATGCATATGTACGTCTGAAAGACAAAAAAGCAAAGCCATTTTAAAGGGGCAGCGTATGCCAACCACCCCCTCCCTTTGCCACAGCCTGGCCCTGGCCCAGAGACAGGCGACAGCGTCGTGGCTCTGCACGCCGGGAAGGTCGTCGGGTGCAGTACAGGGAGTCCTGCTGCAGCACCGGTTCGTGGTACGTTACGGCAATCGCAATTTCATGCAGCGAGAAATCAATGCCTCGGCTGTTGCTTTCGGGAATAATACTTTTCGTCAGGGCAGAGAGAGAGGGCGGTGCGAGATACACTGGCTCTTAATTTAAGAGACGGACATTTTAAGCTGTACAACCAGAACACAAGAATAGTGTTAGCAGTTGATATATTCTACAGTTCACAACAAATACTCGCTCTGAATACTGCTTGACGGTTCATGTAGTGAAGGTTTCCTTTTTTTTTTTTCCTTTTTCTTTTTCTTTTAACAGGTTTTAATTTGCACAACACACTAGACACACAAGAACCACAGCTTATCAAAAAAACCAACAGCAATGGTGTTGTCAGGATTTGACTTGCTTTATAAAATTTCTCTGCAGAAAAAAGTGAAAAAAATCACACCCCGCCCCCTCCCCCCTCTACGACGCAGAACAAGTGCCTCAACCAGCCAACTCCTGCTTTGCTCCAGGGTGACTTTGGAAGTTTCTCCTTGTCACAGACCAAAGGTACATGTGTGCACTGGCCGTTCCACGGTGAACCTTTCGCACGTTTGGGTACGTTTCTCTCTTCTTGGAACTTGTGCAAATCAGAGGCCACAACTTTAGGGCAGCCTTTAATTTTAAGCCACTGGGCCTTCACCCTCCCATCTGGATTTCATTCACTGGCATGGGCAATGGTGGTGCCAACAGTATCTTGTACAATCACAGGTTAATTGGTGAACATGGGGAATATTCTCATCAGAGTAAGTCAGTCCTTATCCTTCTTACCTCCCCATTTTTTTTTTTTTTAAATTTTTCCTCTGAGTGGGAATATCAAGCAAAAATAAATTAAATTTGACCATCCTGGACAATAACCACGAGGTTTTTCTCAGTACCTAACATCAATACAAGGCACGCCCAACAACACACACACCATAAGAGCACTGCAGAGCAGGGCAGGGCAACCTGCCAACCCAGACATCTAAGTGCTAACTGTTTGTATATTTGTCAGTTTTCTGCTGCCCTCTTTTCCTTGGCTGGTGCAGAGGAAGTTGGGCTCCTGCCCTCAGTCCTCAGCAGACCTTGTAGCAGACTCCAGACCACAGCTTCCTCTTGTGGCATCACTTCCTGAAGCTGCTCTCCGGGATGGTGAGAGTGCGCCGCCTCAGTTTTCTTCCTGATCCTTCCTCCAGCAAGTAAGTGACATCAATAGCTGCAACAGACCACAGGCTTTTGGTAAAGAAGGCGATACGAGTAACAGTTGTCCTATTTCCCTATTCACGGTTCTTTCAAGGATGTTTCCATCCATAGTGGTATTCAAAACTCCACTGGACAATGTGCTGAGCAAGCTGATTTAATTTTGAAGTTAGCCCTGCTTTGAGTCATGTTTGGACCAGATGACCTCCAAAGATCCTTCCAACCCAAATTATTCTATAACTCCATGATTATTTTGCATTAACTCCCAGAACACGAAAGAGACCGGACAGAGCTCATCCTAGGCTTTAAATAAAAACCAGACATACTTAACCAGTGTTACTGCTGCACCCTCATTCTACAGAAGTTACTTAGAACCCAGTGGAAAGCTCATTAAAGGTCAGAAGAGACCTTCCAAATTCTCTCCATTCTTTCTTTGCATGTCTGTTAAGTTTCTCAGTTGTAAACATGGAATGATGGGGGGGAATTTGTGTTCAGAAAGTTTTTGTGGTTACTAAAAATATTACACAAAACACTGTGTCAGTTGTAAGAAATTTCATTCGGAATTAACGGACGCTGCTACTGTTGCAAAAGAAAAAAATTACTGCAAAGAAAACTAATAAGGTCCACTAGCAATATATTCAGACAAAAGCATTTATTTTATCAACACGGTCTGCAGCGAACTAAAAACAAACCTGTAGAAGAAATGCTATTGGGTAACCATAGCATAAAATCTCACCATTTTTCCCTGGGATTTTCTCTAAGAGGTTTAGCAGGATTTGATTAAGTCTCTCTCTCTGAATATTCCGCCTTTCCTCTGGACTGCACAGCTGCCTTGTGTCGGAATTGCTTTCTTCCACCTTTTTATCAGTTTCACAGGTCTCACTAGAGACTGCCTCTTTTTCTGGCTCCTCTAGGCTAGGCATCTCACTTGAAGTTTGATCTTGGTTTCCTAATACATCCTCAATAAGTGGAAGAGAATCTTCTTCTTGATTTAAGTCTTTAATCTGTGGTTTTGAGCGATCCGTTTTCCAGGACGATCTAGCAGGAAAAGAACGGTTTAAATACCACAATTTTTCAGACACTCACCTGAAAGGCCAACTACTAGTGAGTCAAGGACTTCTCAGTAGGTAGGGGGCTTTCTGGAATCTCAGTCATTTCACTTAATACATGCATTCAAACCCACCAGTTACGATCTACGGGAGGCTACGTTCCTATAACCTTGTTTGCATAACATCAAATGCAGTCTTTTAAAAACAAATTGCTTTTCTATTTCAATTTGTAAAGGTGTTTATCTTCCAAAATAGTTGAGCTCAGCACTTACTGATGTTTTTCTGCAACAGTCATGGCTCTTGATGGGTATTTTTAAAGACTCTAACAGAATTGAGAGAGTGCATTGGCCCTGGCTCTTATTACAATGCAAACATGGGCAGTCTGTGCAGGGACTCTTTTAAAAACAAATTGCTTTTCTATTTCAATTTGTAAAGGTGTTTATCTTCCAAAATAGTTGAGCTCAGCACTTACTGATGTTTTTCTGCAACAGTCATGGCTCTTGATGGGTATTTTTAAAGACTCTAACAGAATTGAGAGAGTGCATTGGCCCTGGCTCTTATTACAATGCAAACATGGGCAGTCTGTGCAGGGACCCGATCTCCCTTTGTGCAGGAAGGCTGGATGCTCTTGTCCTGGGCTCTGCCATCTCCTACATTCAGCTGCTTCTGCTAACTTTCAAAATGGATTCTGTACTCTTCCTTACGTACATTACTAAGGAACACTAAGGCTGCTTCTGTATTCTATTCCTCCTCACTTGTTCCCTTTTATCCCTTTGAAAGTTTAGAGGATTGCTTTAAATAATTTAAATTTATTATTTCCATAGCACCCAGGGGAAATGGGTAGGAAAAAGAGTGGACACTTGACAAACAAACAGGATTATCTCATCTGTTCTCAACGAACAATCTGGTAGGTAAGACTCACCTGCCTCCATTTCTCTTGTAGTTGTCTGGTACATAATGAGGCTATAACAACAATAAAGATTATGGTTAATACCAAATAAAATTCACAGTGGAAGAAAGTGCTGGTCTATCTAATATTCTGGAAGTACCAATACAGGACTCGCCTATCTGACACTTCGGAAATGCCGGTGCATGGCTGGCATATCTTGCACATTAGACAAATTCAAAGGAGAAGGCATAATCATGTAATAAGGACAAATTAGAGCCAGACATTATCTGATTCTTTGTATCTTCTAAATAAATTTCAAGCCATAGACCATCATGATAAAAATCATCTTTGCTTTCTGCACAGCAGAAGTTTGGAACCATCTCTAAACTTACTACAAAAATCTCTCTGCTTACTTGGAAAAGTGCTTACTTGCAAAAGACTTGCCAGATCTGATACCTCTGCACTCAGAGACAAAGTAGTGCTGTGTAGGAGGACGTGCACAATGAAGAGTTGCTACTTCCATGGAATAGGGGAAAATGAGACAGTGAAATAAAAAGATACTCAGATGGAGGATGTTAAGGGAAACTGTATTTCACGATTTTGCTGCCTATCTGTCTGCTGATTTTTTGATAAAGCATCCATTTTCAGTGATAATTATATATAAAGTAAGCAGTATGTCATTTGATAGAGCAGGGAAATGGAAATAGGAATATACTGCTTTTCTGTATTGGGAATTGCTATTCAAAGGTACTGCTGAAAATCATTTTTTAAGCAAGTTTATTAAAACACGGAGTAATTACACCAAAGAAAAGAAAGCCTGACACAGACAGGCTAACAAACTCACATTGGACTATATGTTGTGTGATTCTCTGAAATGTATAAAATTATTTTACAGTTGCAGAATTGTGACCGAAAAGTGAATTTTAAGATTTCCTTCACTCGGGAGTGGCTTAAAAGAAATTAGCATCTAGATTTTAGTCAGAAACCACAATCTCCAAACTTACACATCCAATTTATACAACCATTCATTCAACATCTGTTTGCCTTTGAACTGCATATTCTCTGTCTACAATTTTTCTTTCCAAGCTTTCTTTCTAGCTAACTTTTCATCCAGACTGTGTACGCTTATGTGTCAGCTTCCTTTGGTTTACGAAGCTTCATTCATAAACAGAGAGCCAGGGGCTTTCAAAAAGTATGGTCCAATCTTCTAGTAAAAAGTAAGGAAGCTGAGAGAAGAGACACTTACTGAAAAGTCTCTCTTGGGCGTGAGTTTCTTGGGGAAGTGGTCAAAGGCATAGGGCTTGGTGCAGACAGGATAACGATTCCGGTGGATCTTGTAGAAGAGATGAGCTGATTTATCAAGGCGGTAATCACAAATATATACATCCTGCTCCTTCACACCTTTTGGCCTCCCTGCAGTTTCAAAACAAAGCACATAGGAAAAAATGTTAATCAGACTCAAGAGGAAACACATGGTATACCAGAACAAGAACAAGCCATACATAGTGTCAGAGAAGTAGGGGGCTGTCAGAGCTGTTCAGTGGGATGGCAGGCATTCTTATTTGTTCTCCTTGATTCAGAATCATAACAGTGGACAAATTGCTAGTTCAATTTAAGAGGAAAACCTGTATACGCTAATCAAATAGCACCCAAACTTTTACAAAAACTATTATCAACTGCCATCACTTTCTCTTCCTTGCCCACCACAATCCCACCCTCCTGCTGTCTCTTCAGTACTGGCCCTCTTAAAACAGAAATCACTGTCCCAGTGCTAAAGTAATAGTGCTTCCTCAGCTGTGATACCCTGTAAACACTGGCTACTGCCTTTTTACAGCAGTAACTATTTTAGCATACTTCCCAAATTATTAGAAAGGTGTATTATATTTAATTTCTCATCCCGTTAAGTCTCCTTACCTTTGCAGTAGGTGTATAGATCAAGAACACAGCACGTTCCCACCACAGCCTCTAAGGGGATAATTTCATACAATGGCACCCGGAAGAGCTCATTGTGATAAAACTTTCGAGAAGGGGAATGATGTGTTTCATGTGGACGGAAATAATGATGACCAAATGCAAACCGCTCCTCTCTGTTTGAAGGTGTAAAGGTAAGAGAAAGAGAGAAACAGAAGGGGGGAAAAAAAAAAAAAGACTATTTCTATAAGCCCATGATACAACTTTACTTAATGCCCTCCACTTGGTTTTGAATTATCTATCTTGCACTTTTGCAATGACTGTGATGAAAAGCGAAGTCACATGAATATTACACATTCAACTTTATCCCCTTCAATAAGTGGAAATACTCCTAGAGTGATTTTTATGAACACAGCAGACTTACTGTGCTGTTATCTATGGGGCATATGATTAAATAATCATGTTACAGTGGCTTAGCAAGTCAGTGATCGTTAGCTGAGCCAATTCAGCTGTCAGTGTGTATTCTCAGCCTATTCCAACAGTGAGGAAAGTGCACCAACTTGTATCTCTTATCCCTTGCTTAAACCTCCAACCTTACGTGTTTTACTTTGCAGTTGTGGAGCACAAGCAGAGACAAGTGGGAAATCCTCAATGTTCAGTCCTGCATTTTTAAGCTATGACAAGACTTCCACAAAATTACTGTGTTTTGACAGGTAGGTATATGGAACGTCTCAAATTCAAAAGATGCCTTGAACATACTTCTCATTTTTCCAGAGTTTTTCAATGCGGAAAATATCGAGTTTCTCCCTGTTGATGTGGGACAGCAGCCGATATGACTGCCGGACAGGGTGTCCATCTGGAGTTCTACGGCTGTCTCTCATCAGGTAAACACAATCACCTGGCAATAGGCACAAAATACACACCTGTAAAGAACTTTTCATGAGTCCAGCACACCAAAAAATAGAGGAGTAAATGGTTTCATTAAAACTAACATGACAGAGCTACCTAATGTTGAATTGTAGAGAGTGATGCAAAACCAATGCAGAACCCGCAAAAGCAAGAAAGGTTACCTTGATCATTTTCACAAAAGCTTTATAGCAAGAACTAAACATAACTTGAATTGTATGCCCAGACTGAAAATAGTAACATGTAATGAGAATCAAGATAAATTATGATAGACCGCAGAATATGTAACAAAATCGGATTAGGAAAATGTGTAGAAATTGGTGATAGCTGCAATGTTTAAAGAATAAAACCTTAAGATTTAAGAGAGAAGATACTTAGAGAGATTATTATTAAGAAAATAAATCATTGTCCAGGAAGGCCCAAGCCTTTGACTGTTCCAGCAGAACTCAAATAAGATGCATAGCTCAGGAAAGGTAAACAGAACTCAAAAAGGGCTGAACAAAATGACACTCCTGGCAACTAAAAAAGTCTTTCCCAAGTGCAACCCCTAAACAGGTCCCTAAACTTCTATTTATTCATTTTGTCCCATGAGTGAATTAACTCTTTTATTTCTCTGCTCTGATCTGTGAAACGGCATTAAACGTCCTCTCCGTCCCCCAGACTTGACTGCCATTCTTCCTTGTATACTGCACCTTTCTTTGTGACGATGACTATCATTTGATAGGGTGAAAATACGCTGCTCCATTCAAAAAGCCTTTCTCCTTTAGGGGAAAAAGCCTTAATCAATAATGTTCACAAAGAACCTGAAGAGTCTCAGAGGGAGAACATTTGGGAAACTCAAAGTGTTACTGAAAATATCATTGGATTTAGTATATAGTATTTAAAAATAAATTCCATCTTTTCTGTTACTATCTCACAATGAACAAAAACCTGGGAGGTCCCAAGTCATAAAAACTTAAGAAAAACTACCCTGGGTAAGATCAAAGGTCATATAGCATAATATTCTAGCTAGAAAAGTGGACAGTAGCAGATGTTTAGGAGGAAAAATTATAGGAATAAGGCATGCATAGGAAAAGCCTTCCCATGGTATTCCCTTCAGGCTTCCTTTAATCTCTGTTTTACGGACTTTTAGTGCTAAAGGCTATAGGTGGACCACCGTGCATAAATACGCAGGGATTAATCCTTCCTCCAAGAATTTGTCTAATCTTTTTGGAACCATTTATACTCTTGACTTCTCCAACTTCCTGCTGCAATTGTTTCCATAGTTTAGTTATGTTTTTGTGAAAAAATACTTCCTATTGTTTAAATATGTTGCCCACTAATTTCAGTGTTTGTTCCCTCATTTCTCCATTGTTGCACTTTTCCTAAGCCACTCGTGATTTCACAGACCTTTATCATCTCACCCTCCACATCATCTGCGTAGACTCTGTTCACAGCAAAGTTGTTTCACATCTGATTAGCCTCGTCACTGCGCTTGTTTTTACAAGTAGCAAGATACTCTTTTTGAGATGGGATGACAAGAATAGTACACAGCATGCAACAGACATACCCACCATGAAATTACAGAATGGCACAATTACTTTTTCTATTTTGTTCATAATAATTTCTAACATTCAGTTTGCCTTTTTGACTCATGCTGAGCATTTCTCTTATGTTTCCATTAAATTGCAATGACTCCTTGACTTTTTTCCCCTAAGTACCTACCTATTTTTGCGTATGTGCAGTTATGTCTATTTTCCTTCCACGTATGTTACTGTTATTTAATTAATTAGCAGGTTCAGTCTCTGTTACTTCCACAGCTTAGTAAAAAGATGCTAGGGAACCACCAAGTACAATGTGGCCTCAAGTTCATGAGCACCTCAGTTTTGTTCTCCCTTAGCTTATAGCCAAATTCAGGATTAAAGTGAAGGACATGTAATTATATTTTCATAAATATAATCTCATTTATCAATCTTGTATAAGTTTAAAAGATGCTCCTAAGGACTCCTCACATGCAAAAATCACTTTAAGGTTTTATGCTGTCACCTGTCACTGTAACAGTGGAGTACAATACACTGCACTATTAAAAAAATCCTCCGATTTAAACCAGAGATGACATGGGCCATATGGGCACTGACATCTGCCTACCACCACGAAGCCAGCTTTTAAACCTTCTGGTATACCGGGATCGCTATTAAACAAATAGAAGCTGTAGTTGTAGGAAGGAGAGAGAGAGTTTTATTCTAGCTTGATTAAGTAAAAAACGGACTGAAGACAGAATGACATAGGCTTGCACACAGGCTAGCAGAGTGCAAGCTCTTCAAGGATTCAGCGTGTATTTGCTGGTGATTAGCCTGTACTCACCCATTGTATTAGCTCTTCTTACTATCTGAACTAAAGCTGGGATAATAACATCTTCATTTTACTAAGTTAAGGATTACTTTTAAGGAACCCAACTCCCTAATTTCTTTAAAAGACTCAGAGAGAAAAAAAGGTACATGCTGAGAACAGCTGCTGGCCCCAAGCAGAATGCAAATAAACCCACTTATTTTTGGCTGTTATTTTAAATTAGCTACTTTCAACTCTTCTTCCCTACCTCTTCAGTGAGAATAAAGCAACTCTAGTACTTATTGTACCTGACTAAAAAAAGGAGTATTCAGAAAGAAATGTACATGGATACTCTTTTGCCCTAAAGATCAGGAAGCTTGATTTCAATTCAAGTTTATCCAAACGTTACTAACTACTGAAATAGCTACCTCTCGGCCTCGAAAAGGGAGTTTATATTTCTGTGTTTTAAAGGAAGAAATAGAGCTGCTATTGCTGGTCCATCAGAGATAATGACATGTGACAGTTTCTGGCTATGTGGGTTTTCCAAGATCCATTTTGACTTCTGTTTATCAACTCGCATCTGAGGTAGAACTCCTTGTTCACTCTGCAGGATGTGATGGACCAATTCATCAGATCTATTTGCATAATCTCCTGGTTTTATGTGTTAGGTAATTTTTGCAGAGGAAGCACGTCTGTAGTATATAACTCAACAACCTCAAGTAGAATTGTAAAGAAATTAAAAAACAAGTCCTCTAACCAGAGATGGAAGGATCCTCACTTATTTAGAGGGATTTGTTCACAATAAAGTGTGCACACTCACACACAGTTGGAAGCTTTTCAGCCTTGTTCCTCAAAAACATGAGTTCTCAAGCTTGGAACTGGAAAACAAACTAATTCAACGTACAGACACAACTCCCCAGGGTGGACCAACTTACAAAGGAAGGCAATGGTCTCAAAAGCACTTTTTGAGTGCTGATCGCGAGATCAGCCTCTTTCTAATACACAAGACATAGGAAAAATGTAATAGTCTACGCATATAGTGACTGCAGGGCTGAAAGTCACTATGGTCTCTTTTGCCTTGGAACCTGTAAATTACATGACCTTTTAGAAACCAGAGGGAGTAAAATACTGTTTCTTCTACTGTCTCTAAGATGCCTTATATGCTTGTGTGCCTGCATCACAACAATTTCTACAGGCAGGTGTCGTGCCTCAGAACTTTTGGTGGAGAACTTGAGACCAGCAATGAATCCATGGATTTTCCCTTTTTCTACTGTAGCTGTGTATACTTTCTAGCACCTGCTGGGTGTACGCCTTGCTTAATCTATTCCCTGTAACTGCAGAGGCATTTGGTGCCTAACAGTGGCAGTTTGGTCTCCTTTGTCCTCTGCTGATGGTACACAGAGTTTAGCCACGTAAGGACTAACATTTCTCTAATTAAAGTCACCAAGATCAGATTAGAGGTACGTGAGTGAAACATAATGTGTCATGACAAAAATTACCTTAATGCTATGAATGACTGGAAGATGCCACAAAACCCAGCTAAAACATAATCCATTTTAACAGAAAAACATAAAAGCAAGTACCGATACAACCCTAGAAAGTGAGTTACTCTCCAGCAAGGAACCCAGCAAAAAACAAGAAATGAGAAAACCAAATGGCTGAACTCTAGACAGGATAGACAATGAAAAAGGAAGTCTGAACGCAAATTCTAGAATCTTGCAGAGGGGATAAAGAATACACTGTTCTTTGACCTTTTTTTTTTTTAAATTCTCCACTTTCCTGAAGACTCTCCCATTCCCCTCTAGCAAACATACCAACTGGTTTTACTCATTCAAGAGCAGTTCTCTTAATAATTATATAGGCTTCTTTCTAACCTTGCATGTATCTGCAGGATGAAATAAAAAAAAAAAAAAAAAAAAAATAAGTGAAATGAATTATTT